TGGGGAATACTTTTGCCTTGCTTGCTGAATGAGGGAAAACAACTGTCATTCAAAACAGATGGTTTGATTTAATTTAAGCAACAATTTACAGGCAGTCCCTGGGTTACGAATGTAAGACTTAAGTAGACAACTTGTCCTTACGAACAGACTACCAGATGCCTATTATATTAAAATTTTGAGTTAAATACAATGATTCGTAATAAGGAATGCACACACTAGTTTATGACGCTCATGAAAACATTGTGTGGTTTGGAAGTATTTCTTAAATGTTTTATGTGCACAGAAAGGTAAAATATATACCATATACTAAGACAAACATTTGAGTGACACTAAATAAAACTGTATGTACCTATTCTGACTTACCTGCAAACTTAAAGACAGACTTAGGAACAGATCTCGTTTGAAACGCAGGGACTGCTTGTGTATACTTAGAATAAAGTTATGTAATTATTTTAACAATCATGTGTATTAAAAAATTTCTATATATTTTGTTTATGGATATATATATTTGTAAAGCAAAATAGCATGTTAGAGACAATTCAGCAAGAGAATTTGTTTATTTATGTAACTTACTCACCTTCACCTTTAATTCAACAATCCAGCAAGGTCTTAAACAATCAAGGTCAGTAGGTAAGGCATATACATTTGAAAAGATAGTAACTGTTATGAAGTATGTGCTTAGTACATTGTGAGGTAATATTGAGAATAACTAAATAACAGTCATTGTTATTTTTTAGAGTAACTAAAAAATAATAGTTGTTATTGTGTGCCCTCGAGAGACAGGCAATTAAGAACAAAATATATAATATATCAGATGGTGATAAGTGCTATGGAAAATAAAAATAAAGCAAAGAAGGACAATAGGGAACCAGAGATGTAGATAACAGCTTTAAATAGAGTAGTCAGGGAGGCAGTATAGTTATGTTTAAGAGTGAGAGGGTATCAAAGGAAGAAAGAGTTAGCAAAGGCACAGAATAAGACAGGCCAAAGTTTGTTTGGCAAATGGTGACCTAGGTTGGGGCTACAGCCTCTGAAGATTGTAATGGGACACGTGAGGCTATATCTTGTTTATGGAAGGTCTTGACCACTTGGCTACAAGGTTGCTGGTTTGAACCCACCCAGTGGCACCATGGAAGAGAGGCCTGGTGATCTGCTCTGTAAACATAACAGCCAAGAAAAAACTTCTAAGATATAGGGTTGCCATGAATTGGAATTGACGCAGCTGTAATGAAGTTTCAAAGTTTGAGGGGCAGAACCTAGAGTTTGAAATTTATGCACGCGCTCACTCTCATGCCCAGGTCCTGTGCAAGGTGCATGGGACGGCCTTTTCTTTCCAATGAGAAAGATATTCCTTGAGAAACAAAATTGCTCACACCTTCGACTGAATGAAATTCCAGGTAGATCAAAGATTTAAACGAGAAGATTGAAGTCCTAAAGCCATTAGGAAAAAATGGAAGACCAGTTTTTATAATATTATTTCTTTTATGACAGATGGGGTTTATGTCACACATAGAAATAATTTCTTTACTCTGAAATTATAAAGCCCAAAAGTCATAAAAGGAAGTATTAATCAATTTGCCTCTGTAAACAAATAATTAAAAAGCCTGTATCATAAAAAATAAATAACAAAGTCTAAAGATAGATGCAGATTGTGAAAAATGTTTTTCAGTACATATCACAGACGTGGGGTTACCTTCTTTAATATATGAAGAATTCCTTCAAATCAATGAGAAGAGATCATCAGAACAATGGAAAAATATGGCATGAAAGTTTACAGAACTGCTCATAGAAAAAATAACGTGAATGGCTCAAACATATCATATTTGTAATAAGATAATGCAAATTAAAACTACAGTGAGATATCCTTTTTCTCATATCACTTGGCAAAGATCAAAAAGTAAGATAGGACCATGTGAAGATTTGAGCAATTTGGCAATATCTGTCAAAATTAAAAATTGCTCTTCACATAGACAAAAGCTTATTTACAGTTAAATCCTGCTAAGCCTTAACAGTAAGCAAATATTCTAGGAAATCCCCAAAGGGATTTTTAATTGTCCAGGGATATGGTAAACCACAACCCTGGCCTCAAAACTGCATTCCTTGTATGTCTAACCCAGTTTTTTATGCTGCAGGATAAGGGACTCGAAATAGATCAGGAGTAAGTTTGCAACAATTTCATTAGACGAAAAAGAATTACCTTTTATTTCAGCAAATTCCCAATTGTAATAATTTATTCTACAGATAGATATTTGCACAAATACTTGTTCACAAGGAAATCTGTTATAGCGTTATCACTTGTGTTTTTAAAATTGTATATAATATTGTAATATATTTAGGCTATGTTAATATATCAATGCATATTAATACACATATTATATAACTATATAATATATTAATATAATTATATGGTATAGATTATAATATTACATGGCATATATATTATTATATGTAATGTATACATAAAAGAATATGAATATATATAGACTATCCTTGAAGGGATATTACTAACTCTGGTTGCAACTTGGAGGCTGGCTGGGGAACAAGAGTGATAAGGAAACTTCCTTTTCACAATATTTCACTTTTTAACCACTTGAATATTGTTCCAGGTGTATGTATTACTTATCAAACATTTAAATAAAGTCAGTGTCACTGTACATATTAGTTTAGGGCCAAGAGCCTTTGGGTTTAAAATGGAAAAATTTATTGATTGAAGTTTTAAGAAGTTTACTGTAAATTATATTTAATCTTTTTATTAAATTTCAGTAAACACTGTGCAACTAGCAGTCACTGCTGAGGAGATTCACAGAAGAATTTGTCCTACTTTTTTCTCTCAAGTATGGCATAACTGACAGAGGGGAGCATTTCATAAATAATTTAGGGCTAATTTTAGATCTCTAAAATAACTAGCAAAGTGCATGGTGGCCAGCTGGAGGCTCACAGTTAGAGGCTTACCGATATGGGTTTGCTAACAACTCTGTCCCTTATTAAGTGTGATCTCAGGCAAACTAGTTAATTACCCAGTTTCTTCATTTGTAAAATGGGGCTATGTAGTAATAGTACTTCATGGCATTGTTTTGATTATTAAGTGATATATGATTCATGTAAATTACTGAGTACAGTGCGTGCTTGAAGGAATAGCACAATGCTATGTTTTATTATCAATTCCCTTTGCCAATAAGTTTTCCTTTCAAATCAGGAGAAACGACTGAAAACAAGAAGCTATCATTAGTGCTATAGCAGCAGTCTGAGACAGAAAGCTAAAGAAGACTGAGCAGGGAAGGATTGTTGGTACCCGAGCTGGGCCTTGGATAACAAATTGAATTTTAGCAGTTGGAGAAATAGGGAGGGCATTTTAGGCAGAGGGGGCAAGATGAGCAAAGGCATGCAAATGGTTGGCAGGGTATGTTTTGGGAATGGAGGGGAGTTGTCTGGTTTGACTAATGTGCACAACTAGGAGTTTGGGTGGAAGGAGTACTGGTAAGAGATGAAGGTACCAACTCAGCAGTGGCTGGTGATGAGGGTTCTTGTAGGCCATGCTTAAAAGTAGGGCTTTATCTTTCAGTGGTGTAGGTGGAAACCAGATAGCAGAAGAGTGGCTATGGTGGGAAGAAGTAGGAATATGAATAATAGAGAGGAGAGATGGGGGAGGATAATACTTGACAGGAGTCACTGGGTGATGCAAATGGTAAACGCATTTGGCTGCTAACTGACAGGTTGGCAGTTCAAGTCCACTCAGTGGTGCCTTGGAAGAAAGGCCTGGCAATCTACTTCTGAAAAATTAGCCATTGAAAACTCCATGGAGCAGTTCTATTGTGACACATATAAGGTCACCATGAGTTGGAATTGGCTCAACGGCAACTGGAAGTTTTTGAGAGAGCCACAGGGTCAAGGGAGAAAAGACACTAGATGGAGGTGGAAGGTTGTGGATAATTAATGGCACAAGTAGAGGCAGCAAGGGGAAAAAAATGAAGATCTAGATGTGGGGTTAGCTTTGTAAAGAGATAAGGGCACTTCTTCTGAGACAGGAGGCAAAGAAGAAAAGAAGTGAAAACGGGGATGAGTTGGGTTGTGGAGGGAAGGGAGGTTGAAGGGCTTCATGGCTATTAGTTTCTATTTTCTTGAAGTTTGGAAAGAAATTATCTGTTGAGAGTGAGCACATCAGGAGTGGGATTTAGGGTTTAGGATGACAGGTAAGGATTTGGACTATCCCCTGTAGGGTATGTAAACATAGTTGGCTTGGGAGGAGCAGAAGGATGGCTAACAGCACTGAAGTCCAGCTGATGCCCAAAGCCCTCTATCAGGCAAAGGCTCTCAGCGGGGCTGTGTGGTTCTTTCCAGCAGCACCTGGGCCCTGGATGCAAAAGAAGAGGGAGATGTGATCAGACTCAGGCAGATGCAAGGGGTGCAGGGATCGAGCGTGCTGATGGACATGTGGCTGATGGATGGATAGGGGAGGAAGTGCAGCCTAGACAAAGTTCACCAGTTGGCGTGAAGAGAATAGGGTGAGGTTGAGGGCCTAGCACGGGCAATGGAAAACAGGTGTAATGAGAGTGGGAGAGGAGGGGAACCAAACATATTATGTTGTGACTGGAGAGGGAGGGCATTTTAGGATTTGAAGTTTTATAGGATTATTTTATTTTTGTTTTACAGAAAGCATTGCTTAAAAACTGACTTAAAATTCTCATAATACCCCAACTGTTTTCTTTGTTTGCACAGATCATGAGCAGTATGCCCAGGGCTTAAGTGAAATTTTACTTTGCTTTTCTTCAGAGCTTTGTTAAGGGCATATAATATTGATAGAGGGTGAGCTGAGAGTGTTTTATATAAGTGGGGGGAGAAGCAAGGTTTTTACAAAGGCACAACAGGTCTCAGCCAGTTCTCTGGAAACCTGTAGTTTTTCCTATCACAGAAAAAAAACAAGCAAACAAAAAAACCCAAAATAAACAAACAAACAAAAACCAACAAAGAATATAAGCTCTTTCTTTTCTTTGCTTGTATAGGTAAAACCAGTAATCCACAGCAGGATCAATGTGTCAGCTCGCTTTAGAAAACCGCTCCAGGAACCCTGTACCATCTTGTAAGTTGGAGCCCTTTTGCATTTGGAGTTGAAATTGGCTTGTTGGTTGCCTTTTGGTTTGGGATTTGTGTTGTCCGTTTTTGTTTTTGTTTTTCCCTGAAATAACTTGTTTTATTTTTCTTTCTTTCTCTGTTTTTCATATTGTGCTTTAAGTGAAAGTTTACAGCTCAAGTTAGGTTCTCATTCAAAAATTTATACAAATATTGTTTTGTGACATTGGTTGCAATCCCTGCAATGTGACAGCACTCTCCCCCTTTCCAGCCTGGGTTTTCTGTGTCCATTTGTCTGGTTTTCCTGTCCCTTCCTGCCTTATCGTCTTGCTTTTGGGCAGGAGTTGCCCATTTAGTCTCGTATATTTGATTGAACTAAGAAGCGCTTTCCCCACGTGTGTTGTTGCTTATTTTATAGGCCTGTCTAATCTTTGTAAAAGCATAATTATTTCAAATGGTTTGGCTGCTGGGCTTTGCTTTTTTTCCAGCTTGATTGCAAATGGAGACCTCATAAGCCCAGCTTCTCGCCTCCTCATCCCAAGAAAAGCTTTGAGTCAGTGGGATCATGTGCTACAAATGGTCACGGAAAAAATAACTCTGAGGAGTGGGGCCGTCCATAGGTATGTCAAAATAATCTTATAAGTGGATGGTTTTTGGAACTGTTGAAGATATTTCCAGGAAGCTCAGGAGACACTGGTTCCTAGATTTAAATCCCAGTCCACCAATTAGGCTCTGTATGCCTCAGTCTCCTTATCTATAAAATGGATTTATAGTAGTACTTACCTCCTAGGGTTGTTTTAAGGAATGAGGTAATCCATATAAAGAGCTTAAAACAGTCTTTGGTGCATAGTAGTAGTATATCAACAAATATAAACTCTTTATTCTTTTGATTTAGAGCAAAGGGACAAACATCAACATTTTTTTGGTGAGAAGGACTTTTTTTTTTTTGAGAGCACCAGCTTCTTGAATCATAATATCAGGAGATATTTATGATTATTTGATGGTCCAAACTATTTGCCTGGGGTAAAAAAGCCAGACATAAGGAAGTGTTAGTGGGTTAAAGGAAGATGCTGGAGAGAGAGGATATTCAGTGGGGTTGTCTAAATTTGAGTAATCAAAAGCACTTTTCTCAGGTTCTGTAATTTCAGAAATGATTAAAATCACGGCTTTTAAATTGTGAAATCTATGGAATTATCCCTTGATGGAGGCTGACTTACTTATTTTCCTTTAGGTGAGAGGGTTACATATATACATATACACAACATATTAAGAATATATTAAAAATATACATAAAAATATTTGAAATTCACTCAAGAGTTTTTTGGTAGTTCTTCAGTCCTATCTTCACCCCAGTCTCTCCATTTTACTCAACTGGTAGAGCTCTTATGGAGTCCCTGGGTAGTGCAAACGTTTAACTTGATCAGCTGCTAACTGAAAGATAGGAGGTTCAGATCCACCCAGGGGCTCTTTAGAAGAAAGATCTGTCGATCTACTTCTGAAAAATCAGCCATTGAAAACTCTACGGAGCACAGTTCTACTCTGACAAACGTGGGGTCGCTTTGAGTTGGAATCGACTCAATGGCAACTGCTAATGCCTATTTTCATGTATATACATCTCTACAGACACATACAATAAAGTAAGTTCTCAAATGATTGCATATTATGTCTTTCAGTTACATGTATATGCAGATTATGTATATTCACATATACTAATATATACAATTTCATAGCCAAAGAGATATTAAATATAGTTAGGTGTTTTAATGGAAAATAATATTTGCAAGTGGTACAAAAAACTCAAATAGGATAAAAAATATAAATAAAAAATATCTCTCCCACCCGAGACCCCAACCTCTCTCACCGGTACTTTTTTTGTATCATTCCAAAAATATTCTATGCGTATGCATGCTCATATATTTTTTATTTCTTAAAAACGGAACTGGGAAAGCATATATATGCACCTTGCTTTTGTCATGTAACAGCAAATCTTGGAGATTAATCTTAGCACAAATAGCTCTATACCATCATTTTTAATGACTGCGTAGCATTCCATTTTATAGGTGTATCCTATATTTATCTTCAGTCTCCTCTAGATGGAAATTTCGGACATTTCTAATCTTTTTCTATTGCATGTGCATGTTTTTTGTGTATAAGTAGAGTTTATCAGGAGACTAATGTCTAGAAGCTGAATTGCTGTATTGAGTGGTATATGTAGCTTAAAATTTGATAAATATTTCCAGTTGTCCTCCAAAGAGCTTGTACTATTTACACTTTCACTTAAAATGTATAAGAGAGTCTGTTATCTCATACTCTCATCTACACTTAAAAAATAACACTCATATTACATAAAAATAGTATTCATTGTTTTTTGGTTTTCACTTATTTAGTATACAACAATAACAACATCTATCAAGCATTTCTTGTGTGCCAGGTATTATTTCAAGCGCTTTATATTTTTAACTTACATAATCAACTCAGTAATGATACGAGGCAAGTACTGTTATTATTCTCTTTTAAGAGAAATGAAATGTGAGATGGAGAAGAGGAAAGTTACTTGCCCAAGATTATGCAGATAGTGAATAGCAGTGCAGGAATGCAAGCTTAGTAGGCAGTTTGACTCCAGATCCTGTGCTCTTAACTATTAAGCTGCTCTCTAAATAAATGCCACATATTTATATTTCATTATATATATACTGGCGCCCTGGTGGTGCAGTGGTTAAGACCTATGTCTGCTAACCAGAAAGGTTGGCAGTTCCAATCTGCCAGCCACTCCTTGGAAACCCTATGGGGCAGTTCTACTCTGTCCGGTAGGGTCACTATGAGTTGGAATTGACTTGATGGCAAGAGGTTTTGTTTTTTTAAAAATACATGCTATCTATCATAGCCTTTGCATGTATTTCTTATTGATTTGTAGGTGCTGTTTACATATTAGGGAAATTGATCCTTCCTTATCTGAGTTTTAAATACATTTCCAGTTTATATTTTTTGACAATGTTTCTGTTTCTTTTTTGCATACAGATATTTTGAATTTTGATGCAATCAAATTTATCAATTTTTCCTTATGATCATTAAGTTTTATGACTAGTTTAGGTCTTTCTCACCCCAAGATTATAAAGTATTCTCACATGTTTTCTTCCTGTACTTTTAATTTCATTTAAACCTTTGATCCTTTTGGACTTTATTTTGGTGTCAGGCGTAAAAGAAGATCTCAATAATTATATATATAATGATAACGATATATAGTTTGGTCTTTTGACGCACACATATATGTAAATCCACCCAATAAAGAAACAGATAATATTAAGCACACAAAGATATATACACATAATCTCAAACTCAGATACACCTATCCATACATACATTGGTATAAACAAATTTATATTTATAAATAAAAATATATACAAGTATAAATAAATGAAAATATAGTTATATGTTCCTCAAACACTTGCATACTTAGAAAAACTTAATTCTTACTCTAATGGCAGATGTGAATGAGATTTGACTGTTGCTCACTTGAGACTTGTCCACTTTCTCTTAAGTGAATGTTAATGACTATCATGAATCTATGAATCAGTATATTAAAATATCAAAGGCATCCATATTAATTGGTTTAACTCCATGTTGATGTATATTGTATTTTGTAGCAAAGGAAGAAAGCAGGTCAACGTGAATCATGTTGACCAAAAAAAAAAAGGCTAAAATCATGGGTTAGAATTTATTCAATACCCTCTTTCTACCTGCAGAGGAAACCAGTTAAATCCTGACTGTTTCCAGAGTCTACAGCTATTTGGCCTTCTGATTTCTAGCTATAAAAGTTGTCTACTGATTCTGGTCTTCCTATTTTGAAGACAAGTGAAAGAAGAAGATTGTCTGGGTCTGGGTCTAGGTCAGTGGGGTCTTATCCAGGAGTGATTTTGCCCCTGGGGGACACTGGGCTTGACCGAAGGTAGGGTGCTACTGGCATCTAGTGGGTAGAGACCAGGGATACTGCTGGAACATCCTACAATGCACAGGGCAGCTTCCCTTGGTGCTTCCACAGTAGTGCCACTGTTTAGAAACCTTGGTCTAGGTCAAGGCAAGAAAAATGGAAATCCAGGTTAGGTGTTGATATTTAGACGTGTGGTATAGAAACACAGTGTTATAAAGAGAGGGACTTTAGCAACTGTTTACTAAGTAACTACAAACACATTTCAGGAAATTGGGGGGCTATTCTCACTGTACTTCATCCCA